ATTGAAAATGAATGAATTCTGGCCACTTTGTAGTTTCGCGTCACAGCTGGTGTGAGTGCAGGGTTAGGAGCAAAAGGAGATTGCTAAACCAATCCGTATTCCCACTGCTCATTTAGCTGGACAGAAACATTCTCACTGTCATTGTCTCTGGATCCATCACAGAAGCAATTGTGCTGTGCTGCGTGGCCCCAGAGCCAGCTTTTTTTCCAGTGATCAGGTACTCAGCCAACTGCTGGTCATATCGCAGTCAGCTCAGAGCATAGGGATGGTTCTACACTGATGCCATTAGTGACACCATTCATGAAAGTCATCACTCTGTCTCATGTTGCAGTGGATAATACACATGGCTAGCTTCCATGCTTGTCTTTCCTTTAAGCTGTAACAGGCTTAAGGGGTGTATTTATTTTCCCACATGACTGTAGAACAAATTGTTTACCTACAAAATAACCGGGCATGCTTTTTTTCGTTCCCTGCAGCAGTTTGATGCAGATATTTTCTTTTGTTCCCTTTAAAGTGTAATCTCACTGTGGGACATGAGCTCCATTTTGAGTTTGATGTGGGAATATTTGAGCACAAGCCTTTACTGCACATCTGTTTAACATGGCTTTAGAAATCTCCCTGATTCTGATTATGCTTGGCTCCCTTGCATCAAGAGAAAATTGGTCATGAGTGTCACAACACAGAATACAGCAGAAAGCAAAAACAGCATGGGGTGGGGGCAGAGCTATAAATAGAGGACAGGCAGACATTGTAGAGCTGTGTTGTATTTTGTCTGCCTGCAGATTAGAAAGTAAACAAGGCTATCACATAGTAAAGTGAAATCATTGTTTGACACAGGCCCTGCCTTGGGCTGTAAGCCAGCTTCCAGCCACATGGTACTTCCTTACTAGGGAGTTGCTCCATGCATATGTAGGTTTCTGTGTGTGATTTTGAGAAGGAGGCTGTCTTTGGCAGGCCGCCAGCCACTGGGATTGCGGGGCTGCCTTGAGCCTCCTTGTAATGACCGACAGTAACCCTGGGGCCCATGGCTCGGCACAGCTTGTGCAGCCTCTCTCCGTCCGCATGTGTGAGGAGAAAGCCTCTGGGGCCAGGCAACAGTTAGTGCAATACAGGGAGGGGAGGGATAGGGTCCGCAAAGCATGGCACCAAGAACAAAGAACAGGCATAAGTTAATGCTCTCTACATGGACATGCAAAGAAAAGGCCTGCAGTAATACGAGTTTATAGATAATAAATGTTTTAATCTTTATTTTAGCCAGACCTGTTAGAAGGGATACCGTAAGACTCATAGATTCTCTGGAGTAATTATTCTCCCCATGAAATCATTTAGTTTAAAATGACTGGCTTAAAATAACACTACCCCACCACTTGTTAAGGATCTCAATGTCTTCACAACATAAGTGCAGTGGCTTTCATCATCTAATGCACATGTGGCTGAAGCACACCAAAATGTACCACAGAAATATATTCCATTCCTCATAATCAACTGGGGAGCACTGTATAGGCCCTTATTATGGCTGAAATTGGAGACTGTTCAGCAAATCTTCCCAGGGGATGTAGACTTGAGATTTGGGGACTGTGAAAGCGAAGAGTTGTTTCTCCATTCATGCTTGGAACACAGGACATAGATGGGGAAACCAGTGTGGATTTTTTAAACTGGAAATGTAGAGTTGTAATGTTTAACAATAGGGTGTGAATTTTGCAAGGGTTCTCTTCTAGCTGCCTTTGGTTTGTATCTCCAGAACCCTGAACTGCATGTTGGAGAGGCAGCAGTGCACATGGTTGAAGGTGAAATATGGAGCAAGTCTGGGTGCTCTCAGCCTTCTCTAAAGAAACTCTTTGTTCCCCTGCAAGGACTGGATCTTCTAATCTAACTCATGCATCCACATCATCATAAAAGAACAATAAAATGTGACATTATTACATAGTACTCAAAAACCCTCCTTATACACTAATGTCCCTGTTACATTTGTAAGCAGCCTGTGAAAGCAGTTCAGCGTTGTAGGGTACTGGTTCTGCAGATCACATGTCTTTGCAAGAATTTTACTAATATTCCCATTTTTAATAATGGTTAGAATGGTTAAATGGTTTGCTATCTTCTGAGCTGCATACTTTTGGAAACCAGTGGATCAGAATGGAGATAACAATTTACATTTTTTTTTTTAAAGAGAAATAGTTCTGATTGTGACATGCTTATTCTAAGATGTTATTATAGGCCACATGCCTTGGTGTGTTTCTGTATTTTTGGTTACCAACTCTCTGTATCTGCCTACACATATTTACTTATTTACCTATGTGCAGCCTTAAGTGAATGTATCTGCTTGTCAGAAATGATAGACTCTTGCATGTTTACCAGAAATTAACATTTATAACAGTTTGTCCTTCATGCATATTTCCTTGTGTAATATATAGATGTTTGAATGTGGGTGGCTGTATGATTACCTGTTATAAGAGTAAAAAGTGCTTGAGGTGGGAGGCTCGAGGGGTCTGATTTATTATCCATTATTCAGGAGGAAATGAGCGTCATAGCCCAGTGACTGTAATAAACAATGGATTGCCCAGCCGAAGTTGGCTTCAAAGCTTTCCTCCCTCCTGCTTTCTGCATTTTATCTCGGCTCTAAGCAGTGCAGGGGAGGAGCAGTGGGTGTGGGTAGGTTGGTGGTGTTGGGTTTTTGGGGGAATTCCCCTATGCTTGTTAAACTACTTCGTTATTTTTGAGTGATGAGTGTTCAGTGATGCTGAAACACACTCTAGATATGACTCTGAACAAAGGCCGACTGTAATATGCTTTGAGAAGCTTTTTTCTGTTGAGGAATGTGGAATTTATTTACAGAAAGTCTAAGTGGCATGAAATAAATTTCATCACTAAATGAATATACACTGCTGTATTGTACCTTAAATCTCAAAGATACAGCAGCCTGTCTGGAACAGCTACTGTGGGAGCTGAAAGTTGCAATAAACGTGCTATATTATAGTTTGTGGGTGTGATCTTGGTGCATGTATCTATACTCTGATACTTCAGTGGCAGTGAAGCAACAGGTGATGGGTGAGTGGTTTAGGAGAGAGGCCAAAGGAACAATACAGATCAGGGAACACAGTAACATAATCAGTTGTTGTTATTATTGTTCCCCCCTAAATCAGTGTTGTGTTTGAAACTGGAACCATCTTTCTGGCTCTTTGGCACTTCGGCTATGGGTTTCTCAAAGGGACTCTTACAGACAAAGGTCCAGATGTCTGTGAGAGCAGCACTGCCTGGGTGGGGGGATTGCATTTCACCAGCCGCCAGCACAGCCATTTGTTTTGTGAGTTTGGACAGACACAAAAAGTTGACACATCTGTCCAGCAATCTGCAGCAGATGTCAGCAGACTGCCTCCCTCTGGCTGGTGGCCATCTTACCCATTTACCTACACACCAAAAACTTGCTAATGCTTAGCCTGCTGCAAATGAGGGTGGCCTTGGGCTGGATTACAGGACAGGCATATACCCTCAAGACAGGGTAATTTATACTCATACTTATATGTACCTCTGGGCTATTATTTTACCCCCCCTCCTCTCTGTTAGTAGTTTTGATTTGTTCACCTTCTGGGTGTAATAAGATACAGAAGATGTCAGTAGTTTTATCTCCCATGTTCAGACATGGGTTGATATTGGGCCCAGCTTTTTTAAAGGGTCACATGGTTCAGTTTTCCAGCTCCATAGTTGAATGTACACTGTTACAAGGAATAATGTTTTATGAGAAGATGTCATACAGATTACAAAAATTTTAAGCTGTTTCTGTCCATGTCACACTGCTTCATCATACAATAACCATCATACTAACTCTTTGTATGTGGCAGCTAAGGTGTCTTGGTATGCTTTCAATACCTCCATGCATTAGACATTCATTTAGCTAGATTTACTCTTTGTCCCATTAAAGATGACACTTTGTCTCTTATCGAATGTATCATGTTCAGTTTAACTTTTTAATTACCATCTCATAAGTATGGGCCTGTGCTGCTATTATGACTTGATAAGGGCACTAATGACAAATGTGCTTTGAAGCTTTAAATATCGCTTTTGGTGAGTAGCAGTATTTCACATAATAATTACACAGGTTCTAATGTGTTTTTTTTAATTTACAGTATTTCACTGGCATGAAGGTATTAAGAGTGTTAATTAGATGCTGCTCAGGGATGTCTCTGTGGCATTATCTCAAGGTTCTGTCATGCTGTGATGCCTCATTGCGCCTTTCCAAGGTGACCAGGAAGTAGCTGTGTGAGTGGGGTCCTGGGAAAAGTGCTACTGGAAAAGGAGAGTTGCTGTTGATTTATATGAAAGCTGTAATGACATCATTTTCATCATACAGGGGTCATAAATTAGACTGTCTTTAATGGAGGTTCAGGAGCTTGTTTGTCAGCCTGAGGTCTCTCTCTTCCTCTTATGGGACTGGGATCTGGATCCTTCTCGTGCTGGGGCTGCACTATACTCTGATGTGGGCAAGACTGCTCAGGTGTTCCTCTGAGGTTCCCATGAGGTTCTGCATTTGTGAGAGCTGACAGATGAAAAGATTGATTACACTCTTCACACATCAGTACATCCATTCTCCTTCCTTTGATAATAATATAGAATTCACCAGTGTGCATTTTTTATGGTGTCCTTCCTTGCATAAATGGCTGGAACAGCTAGCTCAGGCCCTTGTCTTTTTGTTTTGTGTTTTATTTTTTCACATAACCCAACATAAACCCATCCAGCTCAGAAAAAATGTTTGCCTCAAAGATGTCATCGTTTGTCTAGCTTAAAGAAATGTTCCAGTGTTTTGACATGGCGATGCCACATCATCTATCACTGCAAATGTTACATTTCTGTCTATCGTTCTAACGTTGACATTTCAGAGGTGTCCAGGATGAAGAGTGAAGCTGTTGGCATGGAAGCATACAGCCTCCCTGGTGTAGAGGTTTTATGTTCTGAATAAATGGCCCAGTTAAATACACTGCAGTAAGGTTTATTCTTTATTTTAACAGGAAATCAGAAGAGGAGGTGGACATGGACAAAGTGACTGCTGCCATGGTGCTGACAAGTTTGTCCACTAGTCCTCTGGTGCGGAGTCCTCCGGTCAAAGTTAGCGGTAAGTGCACTGCACTGGACTGAATGCTGCTCACTCGCTTAGTCTTCTCTGCAGAGCCACATCTTACAGCTGCAGCAGCGCGTGGTTTTCGCTCAGCAGTTTCCTGTTTTTTTGCTGTCACACAGCCTTGACACTGCAGTGCACTGAAGTTGATCCCCCATCATGATTTAGCTGCTAGGGTTATGTTGTGTTAACATTATTCTCCTTTAAAGTCAGTCTTGAGCCCTGTAAAGTTGCAACAGTTTAAGTACTGGGTTGCATAATAGTTGCAAAGAAAGACTAGGTAGAGCCAAGAATTTATAAATGTATTTATAGATAACTGTAAACTATGTAATAAACAAAAGTCAGTTTCTAAACCTGGTTATAGTTTATTCTACGGTCTTAAGCAATTTACACATTTTTGGAATAATAACAGCATATCCGGAGTTGTCATGTATGTGTGTGTGTGTGTGTGTGTGTGTGTGTGTGTGTGTGTGTGTGTGTATGTATGTATGTATGTATGTATGTATGTATTTATTTGTTTATTTATTTACTGCTGTTTGTCTCCAGAGGGTCTCAATGGCTCCTGGAAGGATGGAGGCTTCACCCCGTCTAGTTACAGCAGCAGTGGCTGCTGGAGCTGGAGTGCTCCGAGTGACCAGTCCAACCCCTCCACGCCTTCCCCGCCGCTGTCAGCTGACAGTTTCAAACCCTTCCGCATGCCCAGCCTCAATGGGCCGCAAGATGACGCTCTGGATGAGCAGGATGGGAGCAGCCTGCTGTTTGATGAACCCATTCCTCGCAAACGCAAGGTGAGCCACTGCCTCTAAACCTGCCCAGATTTGATTTGACATCACTTGTGGACTGAGGAAGATAAGTTTGCATACAACAGCACAAAGGTGGCCATTCTACATCCTGTCACCCTGAGCTGGAACCATCATAATGCTAATATAATTGTGCAAGAGGAAAAAAAAGAGTTTTCTGATTGCGTTTATGTGTTATGAGAGATCCCAGAATGTGTGTGTTTATGTGTATTTGTGTGTGCTGTTTTTGTTTATGCAAGATGGCTCCTACTTCCTCAGTTCAGTGTGTGGTGTGGTGAATGTGAAAGATGATTCTCTGACTTAGAAATCTCTGTTAAAGTAAAGAAGGTGGTGGGAAAGTGTTGAAGGCACAGTGCTACATCTTGTGTTTGCTTACTTCTGAAGCCATTGTTGTCTGCACTGTGCTCATTATGTTGCTGAATGATTTAAGATGAATGATTTGGGATGTAGCGCAAAGCGACAGCCTGCACCCACACATACCAAGATGTTTTCTTACAATAGCATAGTGAGAAAGTCGCTCACTCATCCCTTTTCTAGGCTCTTATCTACTTTATCTCTCTGTTCAGCACACTGACAACACGCGGATACCAGTTTCTGTCATTCTTCCCTCATTTATGGGAATGAATGCCTCCGTTATCTCCTGCACTGTCTCACTGCCTTATCTCGGATGCAGGATTCCACCACCGCAGCAGTGCTGGTGTTTGTCATCTCCTTGCCACCATTATCCCTGTACCCACAGTCATCTGTCCTGCTTAATTACACTGAAGCCACACATACAACTGCCTGGCGTTAAAATAAATGATTTTAAAACCTTCCCTGGCAAACATTAAAATGCAGCTGGACTTTCATGCGGATCAATAAAGTTTCCTATGTAAGTGAAAGAACATCACCATGATAAAATCGTGAATAAATGCTGATCCTAAAGAAGTGATAGACAGTGAGTTAGAAATCGAAAGAGGGAGGCAGGGAAAAGTAATACTGAAAATCAAAATGGAAAAAGAATCACTGTTTGAAGTAGATGCTAAATCTGTACAAATATGTAGAAGTTTATTTGTTACCCACTGGACCACAAATGAGTCATATCCTCTGGTGTTTCTGGGCAAGAACTGGTAAAGCTGATGGCAGTTAAGAAACAGTCATATGCAGTGCTGTTTTCTAAGTAAGAAAGCGGAGTGGAGTTTTGTGCTCTTAATTAGATGCTGGTTACTGGCAGTGGGACGTGCAGTGTCCAGGGATGAGAAACGCACACAGCTATGTGTGCCAAACTAGAGCAATGACCTTCTCTTGGAAATTAAATTAGTGCATTGACAAGGTAAACAGGCGGCTGCATGACACACATCATAATAGCATATGGCCAGGGACTGAGGCATTAAAACACTTTATCCTTCTGGCTTTCAACTTGAAAACAATTGCTGTACGGAAGCAATTGCTCTTCAAAGAGAATGCTGTAATTAGTGTGGACAGATTGTGTGAAAAATCACACAGCCCAAAAAAGGACACTTGTATATTGTCACTCTCACTACCCGCCAATTACCAGGTTCTCTGGCCTCGGACAGGGAGTTGAGCAGCCAGCGGGTGTCTGCCGCTCTCTGGAAGGCTTGTGGAGGAAGAGTGAGATAAAGTGAATCTTTCTTCTCAGCCCTCCGTGTCAGGTCTTTGTTAATCTGTGAGCGTGTGGGAGAGGGACTCTGTAGCAGAAAGATGGATTAGTGGTCTCACTGTGTGCCTCTGTCTTGGGCAGAACTCCATGAAGGTGATGTTCAAGTGTCTGTGGAAGAACTGTGGCAAGGTACTGAGCACTGCAGCGGGAATCCAGAGGCACATTCGAACTGTACATCTCAGGTAAGAGATGCAGGCATTCACAAACTCAAAATGGAGACAATTGAAACATCCATAATTAAACAAAAAACATATCATCACATTAATGCTTGTCATGCACACTTTTTAGAATGCTTACTATCACTAGCAGCGCAAGTCACACACACACACACATACACGGTCAGAGCTGACAGGCATTACATTGAACTCATGATATCCTTTAGTGAGAGATAAGAAAATCTAACTTAGTATAGTAAATCATGATAGACAGGATTATCACCAAGGTTATGGTTTTGTGGCTGGGTATAAGGCATAGTTGTTAGACCTAGGGATGCACAATGATACTAAAATCTTTTTTTTTTTTGGCAGATATTTGCTTTAAATTATTATTATAAAAGATTATTGGCGTGTGATGTATTCCAAATCGATATCTTTTGACAGAACATTTAGGTGGCACTGGCTTACTGCTAGAATATCTGCATTTGATTCATTTTACTGTATTTGTAACTCTCTACAAATATATGTTACATATTTCTGTAATTCTAATGCAGGTATATATAGTCCCAGTTTCTATGTTTTATAAATGTTAGTGTATCGTCATCAAAATCTGCAGATATGTACATGAAAAATATTTAATATCGGCCCACAATTTTCAAATTGGTGTATACCTAGTTAGAACTCCACTCTCTGAGTGTCAGCACACTGCACAGATAAATTTTCTACCTGAACGCACCTCATTAAACTCTGCAGATAATTACAGAACTTGTTATGAATTAGTTCAGGGACAACACAACAATGTACTGTGCTGCACCCCTACAGGACTTTGACATCTCTCATTCACAGTAATGACAAGTAAAGTAAATCAGACCTCCACAGGTTTCAAAAACGTTACAACAAATTAGTGAAGGATTTAAGTACTTTGTGTTTCAGCTAGGCTCTAAAATATACTGAACACCCGAACAGTTTTCAATATATTGTATTCAATATATAAAGCTTTAGTGAAATGCATTGTATTCTAAACCTTTTGATTTTATTTGCATGCAGTATAATATGGGGTCTAATAGTAGATGCTCATTAAACTGACAGTAATTACCAAGTAATTGATGAAGGAAAGTGAAGTGGTGGTCATAAAAATAATTAGAGTAGCAGCCAAAGAATTATCATGCAAATGAGATGATGTTATAACCTTTCTTCGTCCTCCTCCTCCTCCTCAGTCGCAACTGTGACTCCGAGTGCAGTGACGGTGAGGAAGATTTCTACTACACTGAGATTAAGCTGAACACAGACTCAGTGGCTGATGGCCTGAGTAGTCTGTCCCCCGTGTCTCCCTCTGTTGTGTCACCTCCGCCAGCCGCAGAACAGAAATGGGCTGACACCTCCAACGGCAACAGTGGGACCAAGAACGAAAGCAGCAGTTCCACCCCACTCAGCCGCTCTGCCCCTAGCGCCCTCTACCTAGTGCACACTGACCACGCCTACCAGGTATGGACAAACACTTGCATCCAGTCAGGTTGAGCACACTTCAGAAGAACCAGTATGTGTTTGACGACAACTAAATGGTTAGTAAATGGGTAAACATGTTTATCAGAAAGTATATTTACACTGTTTTTGTACCAAGCTAACATCAGCTAGAGTAGTTAGCTTAGCCTTTTCAGTCACATCCTTAGCAACATGTCCTTGACCACACACTCACATTAAGGCTCCAGTGTTTCAGAGTGGCACGGTGTAATATGTATACATACTGACAAATCTGTAAAACCATAACATTTTTTTAAAACATTAAAGATATAGCCTGTTCAAAGCCAGTATGACTCCAGCCCCTGCTCTCCCTCCACAGGCCACGGCCCCAGTCACCATTCCTTCCACCAGCTCGGCTGGCTTCACTCCCTGCAGCAACAGTTTCAGCATCTCCTGGCAGTCCCCACCCGTTACCTTCACTGGCACCCCTGTGAGTACATATCCACACATGCACTGCTTTGAGCTCTGCTGTCATTCATACTCATGCTGGCAGTGAGGTATTTGTCTTATGCCCAGTTTGACCCACACATTCAAAAGCATAGTCAGCTAAAGACCAAACACCTTCACAGACAATTTAGAAGTTTATCATAATCATAGATGCTCATTGTAGCTCTGCCCCATCACGCACAGTCATGTCCAATATAATCCATCCATCACTTACGACTGCACCCCTTAGTGGAACCTCAACACTGGGTTGACCTCAGCTTGCACAGTTTATCAATACCACATGTACATGCTCAGGCACAAACACAACGGCACCATAATATACCCAGCTTTGCTCTGCAAGAGAACTCAAGTTTTAGCTGGTTTACTTGCCAATACCTACTACAGCAAGCTAAATATTCCAATGTTTACCTTCACCTCCTAGAGACACTCACATACACATCAAATACGATCACATTTTCTCTTAGTCTGGCCTTAGAATAGACTTTGTCTTTTGGAATAAATATGTTGTCTTTTCACTTATTGAAATGTATGTCTGTTCCATATGACAGATGGTGTGCAGTACTTTCACTTTGTTTTAAATGAGTTTAATTGTGTTGCAGGCCTCTCCCACTCACAGTCGCACACAGGGATTTAGTGAGCAGCGCTCTCAGACCATTGCAGTGCTTTCATCTCCCCCACGAGCCACAGGTTCACTCAGGTACTGCCCTCTATCCTTCTACACTCACGTTTACTTGCACTCTCAGAACCTACAAACTGTACAGGGTGTTTTTCCTCAGACTTCACCAGTTGACATGTCTGTGTGTGATATATTAAGTGATATATTGATAAAAAATTAAAGTCCTGTGTAGTATTTTCTCTAGCGTGACTGAGTTTTCAGTGCTGTTTGTGTCTGTGCATATCCAGCAGGAAGTCCCGAGGCGAGGGCAAGAAGTGCCGCAAGGTGTACGGGATGGAGAACAGAGACATGTGGTGCACTGCGTGCCGCTGGAAGAAAGCCTGCCAGAGGTTCGTGGATTGAGTCGTGTCTGGCTGCCATATAAATGGGGCGGGGCTTCTCTTGCATGCATAACGTATTTCTTTTTGCCCCGCCTCCTACGCCACGATCCCTCGTGTCCTGGTCTGGACCCAGGAACTGAACTCTTAACATTCCCTCCCAAACCTGTGCATCCCACCCACCCAGAGAGGCAAGTAGCTCTCCTGTGCGAATAAAAGAGAAAACTTTCATGTGATCCATTTGTCTTTTTGTTTTTGGAAGTCTGGCTGTAAAACAGTACTGGAGGCACCAGTGATGTGACCAATCGTAGCCCAAGCTTTTTTCTAAAGGAGAGGAACACTCTTTGAGAATGCAAAAAGATGGAGTAGGGGAAAGGTCCTTGTTTTCCATGAACACTTTTCCACTCTGCATTTCAGCAGGGCTAAAGGCTGGCCAGCCAGACACCCCAGACTCCCTCCATTCCTCCTCCAAGAGAATGTACTGCTGTGGGGGCTTGTGTTGTGAAAGGGAGGGGGAGGAGGAGCTCCCCCTAGTGGAAACGGATCAATGCAAAAAAATATATAAAAAAGTCTAGGGGAGCCAAGTGGACGGAATACTTACAGCTACCCCTTTTCTTCCTTATTGTCACAAGCAATTACACCCATGAGGGAGAGACAGTTTTCTATCTCAGTTTTATATATCTCATTTCTTTCAGGGATGCGATGACTGAAAGCAAAACCAGCAGCTACATTTAACAGCAGTGAAGGTAATGGTTTTTGTCACAGGAATAATCTACCTGCAACCAAAAAGGATTTGTTTTTTATGTGCCATTTCTCTTTATTTGGTCTTTGTTTATATACTCAGTGATACACGATAAAGTACAAAGACTGATATACTAATTACAACCCAACATAGCAGACTAGTGGCGAAGCGGACCACAGCTCGAGCCGTACTGAGGCGCCCACTCAGACCATCTTGTTTTCCATCATTCTCCATCTGAGGCATGAACTCTATTCATTGTACATTTAGTGAGAAGGCCAGCACGCCACATCTGCCACCTGTGGAGGGTCATCCAGATGCCGAGCTGAGTGCACAGGTATGCCTGTGAAAGCTTGGAGAGGCAGCCCATTTACCTCTTAGAGTAAAAGAGCTTGATCTCCTCTCACCTTTTTCCTGACCTCATACATTTATGTAGGAAGTAATAAAAGTTACAGCACTTACCACGTCCGCCCCATGCCAGCCCTCCCCCGGCGTAGGAGCTCACTCAGTGGGCAGGCAAGCGGGAAGCTGGAAGCACTTGAGTGTGTTCTGTTATTCGTCTGTGATTGATAGAGTATTGTGTAACTGCACTGCACGCTGCACTCAGAACGGTCATGTGAGGAGGACACGTGTTGCACGGGGCTTTTCTACATGCTGTTTCAAGTGATGGAGACTGGATGCGGAGGGGCTTCCTTTAGTCCAGTGTGTCGTCTTGGACTCATCACCTGTGTGATGCCAGCATGGATGTCTTATTGAGTTTTACACAAGAAGAAAACGGCTGCTCGGCTGGCAGTTGCAAGTTCTCTGGCACTGTTCCTTTGATGCAGCATCGTATTAAACCATCCAAAACACCAGCTTATAAACTGACTCCCAAACGCACACACCCCACTGCTCAGTCCCTGTATTACCTCCTTCATTATTCTTCTGTTTTATCCCTAAAATGTTTCTTTTTCATGTGTGCTACTATCAGGATGTTCATGTATGTAGTTTTGATCTAAGCTAAATGTTTTCCTTTGAAAGCTACACTGAGCAATTTTACATAACCATGGGAACAAAGATGCATCTGTACAGGTGAGGTGAACAAATTCAAATCTGAAAGTGTAAAGAGCATTTTGGATGAGAGAGGTTTTTTTTCCCTTAATAAATCATTATGCATTCTTTCTTAAGTGATGTTTCTATAGAGTATACAATACTTTAAGATGAAAGAAAACTGCCATTCTACTATGTGAATTTCATTGTTGCTTAAAAAAGTAAATGCCTATATAAAATATATCTATATAAGCTACAGAATTCATGTTTATATGTTACCTTTAAGTGAAGTGATACATTTTTGAGAAACACATTATTTGAAGGCTAAGTACATGGGAACTTCATAACACATGCATAGGCTTTAATAATGTATTTATGAAGCAATATTTAAATATCTATGAACAGCTTATTCCAGTAATCGTATCTCCATTTTTTTGTTGTTTTTTACTTTTTGCAAAAAGCAAAGTAATACCCTTTGTACTCTTTTAAAATTTCACGATGAACAGACCAATAGAAGTGATTCAAAATTACTTGGAAAAACATCTTGATATTAACTAGTAAGTTATTTCCTTTTCATGCAAAGTTGATATTTTGGAGATTTTATTTTGAGGTGTTGTTCCAGCAGTGATGATAGAACTGACATATGCTGTTCTCAGCTGAGTCTCTGCCTTATAAGTTTCATTACTTGGTAATGGCTCTTTATAACAGTATTATAAATAGAACAAATGTCTGAATAATGGCATAAGTTTTTCATAAATACTCAAGTATTGCTTTATAAATCCATTATTCAATGCTGATGCATTTGTCATAAAATAAAGGTAGCCTTCAAATAAAGGGTTACACATTTTCGCATCTTGCTCTATTGCTTTTTCTTTCTATATTTTTTTAAGTTCTTCTGACTAAATTCCATTGATATTGCAACAGTACATCCTTGGCCTTGTTGTGTAAACCTGGATGAACATATTGTGCGAGCACAGCTATGTTAAAGTTTACCACAGTATCAGAGGCTCTAGCACTGAGAATCAAATTTAGTGTCAGTAGTGTTCTTTAGATTTAGAAGCCTTCTGTGTTACCATGTTCAAATATTTATGATCCTATATCGATCGGTGCAAATGAGAATGTGGTCAGCTTTAAGAAGTAAAATTGCATATATTGACAGAGGTCTTTTGTTTGTTCCTACCCCTTATTGGTTCCCTGGTGCTACCTTAGACCAAAGGACCTGAGGCATCTCATAGGTGTTAATGTAAGGGGCAGGCTGATATGCTCCATTGTTTACACACAGATCAACATAAAACTTGAAACTGTTTCCATCTTGGGTCCTTATAAAATTGAACTGGAGTGGCAAGGGTAAGCTTTGGGTGCTCTCTCAGTTTGCATAATTTGGAATACTTTCTTGCATTTATAAATACCAAACCTTGGAGATTATGGCACTTACCGTGGATTAGCTTATGGATGATTTTGTCTCTAAAATATTGCAATATAAGCATTGATTTTCTCATGATTTATCATACTCCTCTAACTGCCATCAAGATGCTTGTGTATGTTTTGACTGCCATTTCAGTAGCTGCCCACAGCCTAGTTCATGGTATTCGTTGAGGTTGCTAATGCTTCTTGTGCAATGGCCTCTGTTACTCTAAAGAACATGGAAATAAAAAAGATGTTGTTAAGGTCCACCTTAAGGAAAACCTTGCAGCCACATTGCTGTTGTTTTTTTTTTTTCCCCTCCTTTTTCTCTCATGCTTGCCTTCTTCCGGTTGGTCGTCCTCTTATTTTCCCGTCTGATTAATATGCTGCCTATCGCAGGTTATAGTATATATCATGTAATAACAGTACATATTCCTATATAGCTACATATTAAACAGCCATATTTAGGACTAGTGTGGTCCACTGAAACAGCTACTTTTGGTCTGTGTGACTGTTGTGCAGTATGAAGTTTGTATTGTCCCAATAGCAGATATTGCCAAAAGCGATAAAAGCTTCAGTTTGTAGTCCCACTTATCTCAAGCCTTTCAACTTGCTTCTGTGTAAAGACAATACATTGTAATATCTAAGGTATAACCAATGATATCTACTGCTCAAAATATGACTGTCTTATTCAAGGTACACGTGATGTCTACGCTGATAAACGTATGTGATTATATGAGCTCTTATATACTCTCTCTTGCCAACCCGATTCAAAAAGTTAGCGAAGGTCATGTCTTGTCATCTTTTCCTTTCAGAAAAGCTTTTTTAGATATGGGTATGATATTTAAAATGTCTGCACACATTTTCCACTGCTGTCACTAAAGGATTTTGTGCAGATGTTTGAGTTTCATGAGCGTATCTTGTGTCCCGTGGCCCTTATTGAGTTAGCCTGATGAAAGCCTTGCTGTCAGAAGACAGTGGCTTTTCCTTTGGCTGCCTGCGCCTCTTTGCCCAGACTGAGCCCTTTGTGCTACTCTAAACCACCACTCAGCAGTGGCCAGATGGCAGATGGGCCACTCAGTGCTCTTCTCTTACATAACTGTACGTGTGTGTGTGCATACGTTGACAGTAGCAAACTGCGAGCATGGGATGAGCCCATATAGACAGTGCAAAGTGTCTTTGAGTCTACTACAAACTGCGAGTGTGAGAGAATTGAAAGACAAAGCCTTGAGAGTACTTTTATGTTAGAAACGAGCTGCATCGTGCTGGTTTGCTAAAACGCCACCAAGAAAAAAAATCCTCAAAGTGTTACAGAGGGCTTTGAATCACAGCTGTCATGGTAGTGCCTTTGAAAAGGCAGAACATGACTTGTGATAGAGTTCTGCAATGCATTTTACCAACAAATTGGGCTCCAGGTCCCTTTGGAGCACGACCAAGTCATGTGCACCTGCCTGCGTTAGCTCAGTGAGGGGGGTTCGGAGTGTGTGGTTGCTGTGTGTGGATGGGGCCTGCGCCTCAGGAATGTAGTACTGGGGACACACTGGAGCCCGAATGTGCCTTGGTTTAGGTTTGATGTGTGTGTGTGTGGACATGCACAGAAAGCGAAGGAATGTATCTGGTGTCGGCTTGTCTGAGTTCTGCGTTTTGTACCGATTAAATAGTGTGGACGTAGGAGACTGTTTTGCCCTTTTCTTTTGTTTTCTAGTGAAAGTGTTTTGACTATTTTAATGCTATGGGGTGTCTTTTCCCAGCCGTACTTTGTAATCAAGTTTCAATTGCAGTACTGTAGTTTTTGTCTTTGTTGTTTTCTATCTGGATTCCAAGACGTAGATATGTTTAAATCGATTCAGTGTAGATTTAAACGCTGGTTTATTATGTCTGCGTTTTGGAAGCCTTTTCGTACAAGATTCTAAATCAGTGAGATCATTCATTATAGTCAGAAACACAAGCCTCACAGAAAATATATAGCAATGTGAGTAACAATATAGGAGAAGCCTTTCAGTCAAGAGGTGTTGAATGGCAGGTCTAGTCAAATCCAAAGATGAATTTGTGCATCTTAGTATTCATAGGCTGGCTGAAGCCTGTGTTAAAATAAGCATGTCTCTGGGACATAATGTCTCTTTTGCCTACTGAAGCGACGTATTTAACAATATTTGCCCATACTGTTGTGCATTTCAACTTAAATAAAATTAATATCTAAAGAAATACGACAAAAGCATATTAAGCATGGAAACTGTAGGCTGGGTGGTCTATAATGGATTATGTCACTGCTCTTGTTAATCAAAGACCATGTTAACCTCAAGAACTCAAAGACTGTCGCACTGGATTTTTTACACTTTTTAACATATACTCTTGACTGTATTTTTAATACTGCATGTGCATGCTAAAGAAGGTAGAACTATGAAGTTTATAAATGTGTATACTGTGTTTTGTCTACAGACCAGGCAGAGGGCAGGCAGGTTGCGTTACAAACGTGGCACATGAATTGCAGGTCGTCTACTAATGTGGCAGTAGCATTTGCCGTTGTCTTTAACATTCATTTCTCATATTTTCTAGGTCACCTCTGATACCGAGTCTCGTATAAACACACGAGGGCCGCTCCCTCTTCCCCTACCGCCATGCAAAATGGGTGCACAGTCCTTGGGGAGATCGTCAGGCTCTGATTGGCTGGAGTACTAATAGAAAGGAAATGTGCCACATCCTACAAGCATATTACTAGATCTGGGCAAAAAGCCAAAATTTAGTGACTTCTTTTTTAGGCCTGCTCTATATTTAGCAGCATGGGCGCAAATTGAGTGACTTTATGGCTCATGGCAGGGGGGCGGCAATAAACAAGTAGGATGTGGCTGCTGTAAAAGCCTGCACATGCCGACGATAAAAGATGTGACTTCCGTCCACAGAGGCAGAGGTGATTACAGTGGCCACATGGAGAGGAAATATATCAGCGCTTATCTTCAGTATGGATTAAATGTAGGATCACTCCCAACTACATTAGTGGCAACTGCCTGCTCTCACTCTGCAGCCAGTCCGAATTGTGCTTTAAAAACACTTCTTTTGTCTTTTATTTTTATCCCATTGTCTTCCATTGTTGCTCTTTTTGTTCATGATTTGATTGGGTACACTGTGTATACAGCAAAAGGAGATGAAGCGTGTCTTGTCATCATTACATGTCCACAGCTGTCAGATATAGTTGCTGCAATAGAATTCTAAAGCCATAGAAGACAGCTGTATAGTGTGGCCCTTGCTGTTTACCAGAATTGTTATATCCCAGCATTCCAGTTTGTATGTCAAGCAATGTTATTAGATATAGCGTCACTGTTGGCTCAAAATTGCAGATTTTTTTTTTTCACATAATTTGAAAACACCAGCTCTTTGTTACATTGTGTTCCAATTTAATGATGAACAGACCAATAAAAATGATCCAAAATTACTTGGAGTAAAATCACAGACATTAAATCACATTGAAGGCATCTGTAAAGTTACCATTTTGGAGATACTAGGTTTTGTTCCAACAGTGACGATTATACACACACACACACACACACACACACACACACACACACACACAGATACATAGTACTGTGCAAGAGTCTAAGGCACCTGAGAAAATATGAAAAATGTATGTCTTTATTGGCTCTGAAAACTACTGTATTAGAATGCATG